CCGCAGCACCCGCCACTCCCTAGTGTCTCTCGCTTAGCGCTAATAATTGAGTTACTCTTTGCTCTCGGTATTCAGCTACTTCCTTCCACGATGTTAGGTACGCCATTCACCTGTCCTCTTTGTGAAGGAGCCCAGCTTGGCTTCTGTTCCTCTGAGAAGGATGCTCACACAGGCCAAGGAGCTTTCAGAGCTGGCATTGGTTTCCTCAGGTCCAAATCTTTACGTATGAAGCTGTAACTGGAATCTGGAAGCCTGTCTTGACAGCCTGCCCAGTTCACATTATGACATTTAGCCTGTGATTGATACAGTGTGTCATAGAGACCTTGGCAGTTAATCTTGCGGTCGAATCTATGGAAACCAAACAGAAGAGGTTTGCTTTCCCCTCCCCTTTTGGCTGTGATATGGGAAACAGACTCTCCCCTCCTCTAGAAGAATGAAAGATCTGGGAGCTGTGTGGGTAGGGTTTGGGGGTGCACGGCCGTCTTCGGGATTTGGAAAGATTACAGGTCTGTGGTTTCTGGACAGCTCCCCGCTCTGTTCTGTTCCCTGCATTGCTGGAGGATAATAGGTCCCAGAGCCCCCTCTAAGTGCCTAGCTGCATGGGCAGACCGCACCACTTCCTCTTCTGTCTGGAAATACAGCCAAGGTTTTAAATGCAGGGCCCGAGCCAGGGATGGTTCCCTCCCTCCACAGCATAATGAGGGGAACGAGGCCTCACCAAGGGTGAGGTCAGCGTTAGCGATCCAAGGAGGCAGATGGAAGTTCCACACCGGAACAGACTCTAGCATCTCCCTAAAATCGTATCTTTTTAAGTCCCCTTAGTGATAAGCAGGACTCAAGGGAACCTAAACCCACAGTATTTAGGAACAGGAGGCCTCACGTCGAAATAAGATGAGCGAGAGCCATGGATGCACTGGGCAGTAGGTCTTTGGAACTCCGGCTGCTGCGGGCCTAAAGGAAAGCTGCAACCTAGGAGTTTGGGCTGGTTCCTGCAAGAGAAGCTTCAGCCAGGCCTGCAATATTGCCCCCTGTCCCCGAAACCCCAGCAGGCAGGCCCAAGAGGCAAGTTCAGGCCTCCAGCCTCCCCTGGGAGGAGGCAGAGTCTACCCTGTGCACTGCACTGCCCTCCCCTGAACCCAGTCGGGGCGAGCGCCGGTCCTGCTTCCAAAGCTCTGGTTGAGCCCTTGGCCACGCTTCCCAGGCCTTTGTCATTCATTCCTCTTGTTGGCTCATCATCCATCCATTTGTTCACCCCTCAGTCCATCAATTTACTTTAGAGATAAGGACACCCAGCAACCCTCCATCTGGGTGGGCCAAGTCCTTCCTTTCCCGGGCCTGCATCTGCATGGGGAGCCAATGACCTGGCCCCATTTCAGGGAGGAGGTAGAAGGCATTTTCGGCACCCTTCCAACCCTTCTTTTGACTCTTCAGCCACATGTCAGTCTACTACTTTGGACTGTCAGCGAGCACAGACTCTCCTGGGATCTTGCTAAAATAAGGACTCTGCGGTCCCTGCTGCCAGTGTACAATCCCGGAATCTGCATTTTCAGTTCGTGCCAATGACTCTAGTGGAGACAATCTTTACAGTGAATGGCACTGGCAGGCTCCAAAGCAGGGTCCTCTCTTCCCCATGTGATCCCTACTCTAGGAAGCAGGCTGTAAGAAGGAAGAACTCACAAAACCTGGCCCATCCCTATGGGAGAATTGAATAACGGGTACAAAGCTTTCAGTGGTGTGGGAAGTCCTTCTGTATATACGTTGCTTTTATTGGTTAATAAAGAAGCTGCTGTCGGCCAATGGCTTAATAGAATATAGCCAGGCTGAAAGAGATATCTATGTAGAGAGAGTAGGCTGAGTCAGGGAGAAGCCATGTAGCTGCCCGCAGGAGACAGATACGCCAAAACCTTGCCAGTAAGCCACATCCATGTGGCGATACACCGATTAATAGAAATGGGTTAATTTAAGATATAAGAGTTAGCCAGAAATATGCTTAAGCTATTGGCCAAACAGTATTGCAAATAATACAGTTTCTGTGTGATTATTTCGGGTCTGCGCGGCAGGGAACAGATGAACAGCCTCCATCTACAGTTCCAAGCCTTTTCATTGTTCTTTAAATTTTTTACTTTTTCTTCTTTTCTTTCTTTCTTTTCTTTTTCTTTTTCTTTTTCTTTTTCTTTTTTTGAGATAGGGATTCTCTGTGTAATAGCCTTGGCTGTCCTGGAACTCACTTTGTAGACCAGGCTAACCCTGAACTCACAGAGCTCCGCCTGCCCATGCCTTCCAAGTGCTGGGATTAAAGGTGTGTGCCCAGCTAAAATTTTTATTTTTCTTAAGAGAGACTGATTTCTCATTCTCAACTCTTAGATTCCTGGTCTGAAACACCTCCCAGAATATTTTGGACCGTAGGTATTTATCACTGTGCCTAGCATTTTCAAAAATTAATCACAGGGATTCCTAAACACACGCAAAGAGGAACAGGGTTTCTATTGCTGTGAAGAGACACCATGACCACAGGAACTCTTATAAGGAAAACATTTAATTGCTGTGGCTTGTTTACATTTTCAGAGGTTTAGTTCATTGTCATCATGGTGAGACATGATGGCGTGCAGGCAGACTTGGTGCTGGAGAAGTAGCTGAGTGTCCTACATCTTGGCTTGCAGGCAACAGGAAGTGGTTGGTATCTTGAGCATATATGAGACCTCAAAGTCCACCTCCACAGTGACACACTTCCTCCTAATAGTGTCGCTTCCTATGAGATTATGGGGCCAACTGCATGTAAACCAGCGCAAACCTAACCCTCATTCCCAGCCAATCCTGCTTCCCACACCTCCATCAGTACCCTACCTCCAACACTGGGTTTTTGCATTCATCCAACTATATTTTTATTTTATATGTGTGCATACCACAGCACATGTATAGAAGTCAGAGGACCACTCTCTCCACATCTATTCCCTGCCTCTTTCATGTGGCTTCTGGAAATTGAACTCAGCTCTCCAGGCAGTTTTGGCAAGCAGTTTACCTGCTGAGCCGTCTGGATGGCCCTCCAACTGTATCGTTTTGATACAAATTCTAGGGACCACATCATTTCACCTGTGAATATTTTACCTTTCTTTTTTTCTTAAGACAGGGTTTCTCTATCCTTGAACTCACAGAGATCCACCTGCCTCTGCCTCCCAAGTGCTGGGATTAAACTGTCATCATATTCAGCCTAAAGATTTATGTTGAATTGTGTAAATGTGTGTATGTATTAGAAGCACATGTGAGCCCGGTGCTGGCAATGTCTAGAAGACGGCAATGGACCACCTTGGCGCTCAAGTGGCGGTGGTTGTGAGCCACCCGATGTGTGGGTGTGAGAACGGAACTATGAAGGAGCAGTGCAGGCTCTAGATCGCTGAGCCATCTCTCCAGACTGTGGGCCTGTGTTTAAAGAGTGTGAATCCCCTGGAGTTATTTTGGTACGAGCATCTGAGGTGATGCACGCGCCTTTCAGACTGCGTTCTGCAGTCTTTCATCCAGATGTTCTCGTGCTCCTGGCTTTTCTAACACTCTTGGATTTATCCTATGACACTGCAGCTTCCACCACCCTCCCTCTCAGCAGACTAGAGATATGTGCCAAACATCTTCAGTGTGCTATTTCCCTCCTGTGGAGAGTGGTGAGAAGGGCACATTTTATAGTTAAGACTGAGCCAGTGACAGCAGCTGTCAGAGAAGGAGGGCTGCGGAAGCCATGGAGGAATGGTTCTAGATCCTCGGAGCCTCAGCATCCACAGATGTTCAAGTCCCTCTTATAAAATGGGAGAGCACCCGCCAGGTTTTGTGCCTGAGCATCCTATAAACTGGGCACGGTGGTACAGGCCTATCAAGTCAGAACTATGGACATGGAGGGAAAGGATTAGAAATTCAGGATCACTACTCCACACACAGCAAATTTGAGGCCAGCCTGGGCTACAGGAGACCCTGTCTCAAAAGGGACCATGGCCAATATTTGCATATGGAGATTTTAAATCATCTCTGGGTTACTTTGATATGCAGTATATATAATGTGTGAATGAATGGAGGTTAAGCTACCTTGGTTAGGAAGTAAAGGCAAGAGAGGAAGTTTGTCAGGTTCAGGAAAGGTGCCCTTTTCTCATTTGCTCCTTGGTGGGTGAATCTTTGGATTTGGAGCTGTGTGGATGAACAGCTAAGGAAGTCCGATTTACTTGTCAAATCAGCAAGATTCCTGGGGAACAATGGAGACATTTCTTCCACATCCCACCAGGAGAGCTTGATAAACTCCCCAAACAGCTTTCGATGAGCAGACACAGCTGTCTAGCTAGGACTCTCTTTCAACCCCAGTAGGCAGATCTCTGAATTCAAGGCCCGCCTGGTCTGCGGAGTTGAGTTCCAGGACAGCCAGAGTTAACACCGAGAGACCCTGTCTCAAAAAACCAAAAATAAATAAATAAGCAAGCAAACAAATAAAAACAAAAACGAGGGCAGGGGACAGACGACCTGGCTTGCCTAGGGGAATTTCCTAGGCTCAAAGCTGCTCTGCCACCTGCTATAAAACTGCCTCAGGCCCCCAGTCCTTTCGCTGTGTGCACACTGGAATGTTGGGGAGTGCTGTTTAACTGCCGCATGGCCTTCCTCATTGACCTGTGTGGCCTGGGGTGACAAGAGGGGACACAGCAGGCGAGAGACAAACCCACCAAATTAGGCTCCATCCTCACCTCCTCCTATAGTGCCCACCGCTGCCTGCTAACTCCATCTTCACCCCCTATAATGTCCAACACTGCCTGCTAACTCCATCTTCACCCCCTATAATGTCCAACACTGCCTGCTAACTTCATCCTCACCCCTAAATGCCCACCGCTGCCTGCTAACTCCATCTTAACCCCCTATAATGCCCACCATTCCCTGCTAACCCCATCATGACCCTCTTTAACGACCAGTGTTCCATGCTAACCCCATCCTGACTCTCTTTCCTACAGAAAGGAAAGAAAATCCCTTGGTCCAAAATGGCGTCGGGAGATACAAAGACAAGCCTCAAGAATGCCTACCCCTCTGCCAAGAGGCTGTCCCTGCAGGAGGAGGAAGAGGCTGAGGACTACTGCACCCCTGGTGCCTTCGAGCTGGAGCGCCTCTTCTGGAAGGGCAGTCCCCAGTACACGCATGTCAACGAGGTCTGGCCCAGGCTCCACATCGGTGATGAGTAAGTTCCAGGCCCTTATGTCACCCTGGGAAAGGAACAAGTGCTTCCTCGGTCACTCAGCAACTCTGAGTCACAAGCCTTGACTTCCGGGTCAGCTGTTCTATGAGAAGTATCTTAGTCAGGGCTCATCTTCATTTTACAAAAACTTAGAAAAGAGCCTTAAGCAAGGCAGGCTCATTTTTCTCTTGTTTGTTAAGTCCAAAGGAAGTCTAGCTGGGGCAACCATGGTAACTGCAGGAGAGCCAAGATGAGGGCTTCTGTGTATTGCTTCACCATCATGAGGGTCTAGTGTTCTTCAAGGTTGCGCAGAATCCAGAATCTTCACAGAGAACCCAACAGGAAAGTCAGGAGAAAGGAAGTCAAGAAGGACAGCTTTCCAAAGGGAAGTCTAGCCTAAAACTTCCCCTGCACCTAGCTGCAAGAGAGGCTGGGGAATCTCGTCTTCTATCTTAGCTGACTATTAGCCAGAGCCGGAGTTGGAGCTTGGCCTTAGGAGTATCTGAAAACAGTAGTCAAAATTGAGGCCACCATCTCTTTATAGGTCTTATAGTCAGTTTCCCCGCTTCACAAACAACTGAGAAATTTCTGTGGCCATCATTTAGGGACCACTGCGTGGTAGACACTATGCTAAAATCCCTGCAAATGTGACCTCGTTTGACCCTCACAACACACCAGTGAAAGAAATCTCAAGGCAAGGCAACTGAGTCACAGGACTGTTTAGTATGTACCCTATATTCTAAAATCTCGATGACTGAGATCTGAGGTTCATGACTTCCACTTCACCCCTCCCCCATCCTTCTGAACTTCACACCCTGCTGATCCTTAGAGCAGACATGCAGTACCCCTGTGCGTGTTGCTCTTACTACCAGCTGACTGCTTAAAAACCAGAAGTAAAATATCTAGCACGTGCAGTAGCCCTTGTCTTATTTTTCCCTTAACCTTTTTATTAAGCTGTGAGAAGTTAGAAACACTACATGCCGCTACCTTCTAAGTTAAAGTAAATGGGGTCATAAAACAAACTGCAAGCCAGACGTGGTGCAGCGGGCCTATAATCCTGCACTTAGAGGGAGAGACAGGAGTTCATGGTCAACCTTGGCTGTACAGAATTCAAGGCTAGCCTGGATCTCTGAGACTCTGTCTCAAACAAAACAGAAACAAACAAATGTACAATCTCTCTTTTTCCACTCTTAATTCTGCCCATAACAAGTATTAAGTTTTGGGTGTTTTGGTTTTGGTTTTTTTGAGATAGGTTTTCTCTGTGTGATAGTCCTGGCTGTCCTGGAACTCACCCTATAGACCAGTTTGACTTTGAACTCACCGAGATCCGCCTGCCTCTGCCTCCCAAGTGCTGGGATTAAAGACATGCGCCACCACTGTCTGGCTTGTTTTTGTTTTTTAAAGCATCTTATGCAGATTTATTTTTATTTATTTTAATGTATGAGTGCTCTGTCTGCACACATGCTTGCAGGCCATTACAGAAGGCTGGGAGCCACCATGTGGTTGCAGGGAATTGAACTCAGGGCGTCTGGAAGAGCAACCAGTGCTCTTAGCTGAGTCATTTCTCCAAACCCATTTTATTTTTTATTGAGCATGTGTTTGTGTGCATGTGAGTACAAAAGCAAGCCATAATGTATGTATGCATGGAGGTTGGTTCTCTCTCTACCATGTGGGAACCAGGGACTGAACTCAGGTCAAGCAAGCACCTTTACCCACCAAATGTCTCGCTAGCTCCCAAATAGCAGGTTCATGTGCTAATTCCACTTTCTGTGTGCTATTTCAAACACAAGAAAATAAATACACACACATACACACACACAATGCATTTTTATTTCTTTTAGACAGATTGGTATTTTTCTAAAGAATTTATCTTCATTATGTATACCTATGTATGCCTGGGGCTGAGGGGATGCATATGAACGCAGGTGTCTGCAGAGGCCAGGTGTCAGGAGTCAGAACCCCTGGAGCTGTAGTAATGGGCACTTGGAAGTGGTCCAGGGTAGTGCTGGGAACCACTGTGAGCTCTTCCCTGCTGAGGTGTCTCTCAGCTCCACGGATGGGTGTTCCGGTTTGTCTGTTGAGACAGGGTCTCAGTAGCCTTCACCTCCTGGTTTTCCTGCCTCATCCCCTCAAGCACTGGGATCAGAGGAGTGTACTACCATGTCTGGCTTAAATAATTTCTTCTTAAAAAACAAACCCCACTGTGTATGCTGTTCTTCATTTTTAATATTCCACAGTATAACTACGGTACAATTTGTCCGGTCGTTTCCCGGCTGAGAACATCAGGGGAACTCAGGCAAGGGGTGCACAGAACACAATGTACTGCTTCTCTTAGCTCTACAGAAGTATCATTCATATATCATAAAACCCATCCTCTTAAGTTGTACAATTCAATGATTTCATGATATTCTCAGTCTAATTGCAGAACATTTTTATCATCTCAAGAGGAAGCCAGGATCCGTTAAGCAGCCACTCCTCACCCCCACCTTCCTCAGGGCCCTGCAGTTGCCAGTCTGCCTTCTGGTTTGTACATCAACCTGATCTTGACATTGTATGGCCATGGGATGGGACGGCCTGGTGGGCTTTCGTAGCTGGCTTATTTGTCCTCTGCATACTCTCATGGTTCGTCTGCACTGCGCCGTGTATTGATGCTGCATTCTTCTTGATCCCAAACAACCTCTGGGTCCTATTTGTAAATTTTCCATAAATCAAATTTTGCTTTTGTCAAAGAGGTGTGCATACACTTTGACCTCAGATATCACTTAGGGAAGAATAATTCACAGACACAGGAGTCCCAGTGCATAAGGTTGCAAGCCCAACACTGTCTATACAAAGACTGACAGTCTGGGATTAAGCCAAATGCTAACGCTATGCAGTCAGTTTAGAGCCAATGAAACAGGCCTCTCCCACACCTCAGTGACCGCCTGCCACCACAGCAGCTGGCTTCCCAACATCATAGTCCACTCTGACTCCACAGTTTATGTTCTGTGGTCACTGGAGTCCACGCTCCAGACTGATAGGGCAGCCCCTATTGCAGGGACTGCTGGGACATTTTCTCTTGCAACAGAGAGAAAAGAAAGGCGTGGTTAAACAATGCCTGACTTACACATGATGTACGCCATGTTTTTTATCTGTTTGTTTACAGGGAACTCTCATATAGCTGAGGCTGCTCTCCCAACTCCTAATCCCACTAATACCCCTGCCTCTACCTTCCAAGTGCAGAGATTACAGGCATGCACCCCCAACCCAGTGACATGTGCCATTTTTAGCCATATTTCACTGGACCAAGCAAGCCCATGCCAAAACCTGCTGGTGACAGGGCCAGGAAGGCAGGCTCCCCCGCTCTGGAGGAGGGAGAACAAACATTCTAAACCACAGTGAAGCCTACCATGAGCCCTGGAAAGGTACAGTGGCTTTCGGACATGGCCTTTTACCTTTTTGGACCTATATCCTCACTTCTAAAATAGTTGTTAAGAAGCTTTGAAGCCTAAAAGGAAGCATTTTGGAAACTGTGAAGAGACAGACCAATGTAAATGTCATTGTCACTGTTGCTAGTGACGTGTCCAGAAATGTGGGTGAAGGCCAGCCTGTGGAAGGCTGAATGCCAAGTGAGGGCTGCTTTCATAGAAGCACCATGAGTGTCTGAGAAAGGACACATTCTACTTAAGATGGTGCCAGGCAATGGCAGGATGGCGGGTGTCTGCAAGCTTCCTCGACCTTTGATTACAACCCTGCTTATTTCAACCAAGAAAATGTCACTGCCCTTTCAATTCAATTAAGCTCTGCCCAATCAGGCTCCAACACACACACACACACACACACACACACACACACACACACACTCACTTAGAGGCCAGGCAGCTCTCAAGGTCTAAACACAGTGGGGGTGGGGGGTCAGGAATCAACTCAACCTCATACTTGACTCTGATCTTGGGTTCTGGGTATGACACCACTTATCAAGGTTCACAGACTTCAAAGGACCATGAACTTCATAGCAGCACAACCGTGTGAGAATATAAATGTAGCTGCAGGATGACAGAAATGCCTGAGTTTCTTGGTCTCTCTGGAGATACTGCCCAATACCCAAGGCTGGCTCCACAGGCATAAATCCTAAATTTTTATTTGTACTGAGGATGAGTTTTTCTTTTACCCATAAAGCACCTAAGATTTCTGAAAGCCAGACTCCAGAGGACAGTTTGGAAGGCAATCCAGACTCAAGAGCAAGGATGGATGGATGTTCAGGGTCATCGTGTACTGTTGGGAGACTCCTGGCACTTGGGAATGGTCAGAATTACCCCCAAGATGATATCTATTCTTTCTCTGCCAGGCCCTCTTTGTGGACACCAGCAGATAGTGGAGCGCTTGGGCCCCAATGTCTGGTTTCTGTAGGACTTTTGTGGCCTGGCCATCAAGTTTTGTGAGCTCCAATTTCTTCATCTGTAAGATTGAGGTTTTAATATGTCAAGACACATGGGAGCTTATCGCAATGCCCAGCACACTCAAGTGTGAACTATTGCAGATGAAACAGGAGCTAGAGGTGTGACAGAAGGAAGAAAGGGCAGAGTAAGCACTAGTTTTTGTTGTACTGGGTTTTCTTGCACTGAGGACAGCCTGGAGACAGAAACCAACCTGTGCCCAGCCCAGGGCATGAGGAAAAATGCCTGTGAACCTGTGAGTTTCAGGATTTCTAAACACGTGTTCAGTCCCAGGTTGTTCCAAGGGGTTCAGCCCCATTGGGATGCCTAAAATCCCCAAGTCCCCATGATTTCTCAGCCTCACAGAAGGTCTGCTTGGTTAGTAGAGGATTGGGACACAGGTCAACAAGCCACCTTGTGAATGTCCCCATGGGGAACTCTTCCTCATTCATCACCCACTTCCCATAACTTGTAGAGAACTAAGTCTGCCCCAGTGGGAAGCACAGGCCCTCAGAGAGTGGAGCAGAAGCCCCCATTCACACATAGGGTACAGAGTTCAAGTCCCCAGTGTGCATGGCTGCTTAACTG